GAGCGGCCGAGAGCAGGGGCGCGCCCACAGCGGGGCCGCGCACTCCCCGACCTTCCGGGTGGAGGCGGAGGCGAGGCGGCCGGGAACCGGGCGGACCGCGGTCGGTCGGAGGTCAGCAGGGCGCAGGGTGCACCGTGTGGCCTTTTCTCCCCCTGCCGAGACCAGGGCCGAGAGCAGCCCCGTCTTTGTGCCCGTGTCGGTGCACACAGGTCTGGGTCTCACGTCGGGACGGGCGCTCTGGCCTCGCCTCCTGGACTCAGCGGCGTGCAGGACGGAGGGAAGTCCTGGGGAGGCCGAGGGAGATCTCTGGAGCGCACATAACCGAGTAGGGGAGAGCCTGGGCGGCTTTGTATGCCCTTGGGATACATTGTTCGAATTCTTACTGCAGCTCAGCTTAAAGCGGGGGGAGGGGGGGTGGGGGGTGTTCTTTACCGCACTCACTTTGCTCCTCAAACTCTATCAGAGCTTCCAGAACATGAGTTTTCTTTTCATAAAGCATTTCTGGTTTTGTTTTTGCTGTAGGGCGTGCGTGCTCACTGCAGACAGACCCAGGGAAAAGTGAGAAAGGATCCCCAGGGGTATGGCCACCTCTCCGGGTCTGGGGCCCCTGGCTTATCAGGCCTGCCTGCCTGCATTTCTCTCTCTCTCTCTCTTTCTTTCAGGTTTTTTTTTTTCTTTCTTAGGGCTGTGCACTCGCCAGAGAAAGACAGTGAGAGAGAAAGTGAGAAATCACACCCCGCCCCCATGGCCTTGCTGCAATTCTTTCTCCTCTATTCTCCTCCTGGGATCTTGGGTACCCCCCCCACACACACACCTGGTATGATTTTCAAGCCGCCAGGTCCCGGACTCGACCTGCGTTCAGCCACGAAGGAGTCCAGCGATGTAACTAACGTACCACGTGCTGGCCCCCCGGGTATGCTTCTCCAGCCACTGGGTCCGGGACTTGAACCACAGGATCGGTCATGTGGAATTCAGCCGACTTAGCCTCCACACCATCTTCTGGCCCCCTCAAACATCTCTTAAACCTGAATGACATTTAATCAGAGCACGAGGGGCTCGGACCTCTGCTCCCTCTACCTGGAGTGCCTTCCCTGCGCCCGCGGCTCCTTGCTCTCCTTGCTCGGGGCTGGCTCCACTCCCGTGTCCCTGCCTGCCCTCGCAGGGACAGTGCGTGATTTTCTTCAAAGTACTACCTACCATCTGAAATGACCTCGGTGGTCTGATGGACTCCTGTCCCCCATCCCCGGAGTCGTGCACACTCCTCAAGAGCAGGGACCTTGTTTACCCTCGTGACAGGAGTCAGCCCCCCGCCCCTCAGTCTACCATACCGGCGGCGTTGTAAATACTGAGGAAAGCGCGGCGAGGCGTCTCCTGGGGCACCTGCAAGAGCGTGCCACCCTCGAGGAAGCACTTGGTCCCCTGTCCCCACTCTTGCCCTTTCCCCGTGGTGGCCTGGGCGCAGGTGCTGTCCTGTCCTTGGGGTTCCCCTGTAGTGTCCCAGGTCAGCCCAGGCAGCAGGACCCGGAGGCATTTGGGGCCTCAGACAGTTTCTTTCGGGTCTGGATTTTGGACTAGAGAGCTGCTGGGACTCCCTGGGGCCAAGGACTGCCGCCACTCCAGCCCTTTGACCCTTGAGCACACCCAGACCTTGGCCGCGTGGCGTGGTTCTGAAGTCCGGTTGTGGGGGCTGCTGTGACGCTCTGTTTACGCTGGACTCCAGGACGGGGTAGTCAGGGGACGGCGGAGCCGCTGGCCGGGGCCTTGCCTCGGCTGGGCCTCAAGGCTGCCTCAGGCCTGCGTACTGGCACTGGCCGGGGATTCCTGCGGTTCTTTTATGCTTCTGAGCACCCCGGTTTCCAAAGAGGCCCTGGGCAGAGGGTTGGAATTTCCCATGGTTCCTTGGGGATCGGTGGCTGTCGAGAGCCCCCTGGGTCTGCTGGCCTTTGCTGTGGACTGCACAGGTTACCAGGTCTCACCGGCCCCCTGGGCAGACCCATGTGTCGGCAGGGTGGAGCTCCGCTGAGAACTGCGGGAGGAGGGGGTGTCTGGGAGGCCTTTCCTCGGGCTCCCTGGTGGCCGGTGCCACGCCTGCATGTGGCCGATATCACTAAATGTCCCTCCGGGGTGAGGGTGAGAGGACCCTCCTTGCTGGGTTCCAGTTGGGCTGTGTCAGGTGCTCTGCGCAAGTATTTGATGCCGTGAACACAGGCCAAGGAGGCTGGTTCCTGGGTTCACGTCCCGTCCCCTGTAGCTTGTGGTCATGCCTCACACGCACAGTAACGCGTCATGTAAGCAGTCTTGGTCAGTGGGCTGTGTATGTGACAGGGTCCCAGAAATGAGCGTGTGACCCAGGTGACGGCCCCACAGTGAGGGCCGGGTGTAGCGGCCACACCGCCAGGTCCCCGCATGCTCTCCGTGACGGCCACGCAGTGAGCAATGAACACATCAGTGATCCCCAGTGACCTCCTCGGGCTGGTCCTTGTGGCCGAGAGGGGAGGGGGTGCCAGGTCTCACAGGTCCCCTGGGCAGACCCACCTGTCTGCAGGGTGGAGCTCCACTGAGAGGAGAGGGGTCCAGCCGACGGAGGCTGGGCACCCCTGGCCGGGACCCCGAGGCCTGTCTGAGGAGTGACAGGAGCTCTGGGTTAATGGCAGGAAATGAAGCTGGGGGGTGTTGGAGCGGGGCCTAGAAGGAATCCCCCGCCAGGTGGAGGGTCTGCCCTTCCTGTCCAGGGGACCATGGGAGCCACCAAGGGTCTGAGCACGGTGGGGGCCTGCTCACCGGCCGCAGCAGCTGCTCTGTGTGGCTGTTAAGGGGTCAGGAGGAGGAAGAGTGAGATGGGGACTTTGAGAGGCTGTTGGGATAGTCTGGGGACAGTCCTGAGGACCCAGGACTAGCAGGGGATATGGGAGCAGGAGCTGGTGGAGGGCCTGGGACTGGAGCCGAACTTACAACTGGGAACTGACTACGCGCTGTCAGGAGACACCACGGTGGACCCTGAGATCTGGGGACTGGGCGCCACCCGCCACGGAGAGGTGCCATCGAGCTGGCACTTTGAAGAAAAAAGGGACAGGACCAGTGAGTGTGAAGCTGAGAAGTTGGAATTCAGATTTCCCACATGCAGGTTCTCCGGCTCCCGGAGGAAATGGACCATTTCGCGTGTCCCAGGCGGCCCGCGGAAACTGCCCTGTCCTCCCCTCCAAGCGTCCCTTAGAACACAGTTTGCAAGTGAAGCCACAGGCCAGGCCTGGGGGGGGTGGGGGAGCAGGCCAGGTTCTGTCTTCCTGGCCTCATCTTTTTTTTTTTTTTTTTTTTTTTTTTTTTTTTTTTTTTTGAGAGGTTTTTGCTATAGGGCGTGTGTCCTCCCCAGAGAGACAGAGAAAGGCAGAGAGATAGAAAGTTAGAAATCACCCCCTGGGGGGGGGATGGCCATGCTGCAATCTCTTCCCCTTTATTCTCTTGGGATTTTAGGTATGCACGCACATGCACACATACACACGCACATGCGCACACACACACGAGTTTAAAGTCACCAGGTCCAGGACTTGAACCATGGTTGACTACATGGGAGTCCAGCGACGTAACTGTTACGCCATCCACTGGTCCCCGGCTGTCATCTTTAACAGCGGCTATCCTCCGTTGGAGCAGGGAGGCAGTGCAAGGTGCAGCTCACGTCCCGGACACGGGGCTCCAGAGCCTGGGTCCATGCATTCGCCCCTCCTTCCAGGCTGCTGCTCCAGTCCTGGAGGGTGTGTGAGCAGAGTAGCTTGAAGGGGGACTATGCGCCTGTCCCTGAGCACTCAGGAGAGAACTGAGCAAACCTGAACTTCCTCAAGTGCGCCGCTTGTCCTGCAAAACTGAAGCTCCTTCATGGTGAGCGAGTCCCGTTACCTCTGCCCCCTGCCCCAGCTGTGCTGTCCTCTCTCCGAGTCTGCCTGCTCCTGACAGTGCACTAGGGAGGCTGCAGTTGCTTGCCCTTTAGTCTGGCCCGTCCCCTTACCCTGACGCCATCGGGCTTCGTCCCTGTTAGGACGCTAGGACTTCTCTCTCCTTTCCATGGGTGGGCCACACCTGTCTGTTCCCTGTGACAGACAATTGGGTGTTTCTGACTCCCAGTCTTCGTGAAGTCTTCCTCCCACCCACATTGGAAATGCCTCTTGAAACCGTTTGAATTACTTTTGAGTTAATCACAGAAACTCACCAACCACCTTCCGAAACCAGGAGGTGAATCGGGCCATAAGACTTCAGAGAAAGCAGTGCCCGTGGTGTCAACTTTATTAATAGGTGGACGTGAAGGGCAGCGGCGGCCCGTGCTTGACTGGCTGCCTTGGTGGCAGAGTGAACTGGTGACCCCGGCCGCAGAAGATCTTGGCTGGGGAGGAAAGGGGCTCACTCCTGGTCAGCAGCTCAGGCTGGCTCCGCGGCTCCCTCGGTCTCGACCAGGCCGCAGGCGCTGGGCGGAGAGGTTGGAAAGTCAGTGGGCTGGTGGGAGACCAGGCCCACATCCACCTGGAAGGCACTAGGGCGCTTTGGGGGGGCTGCTGGTTCTTAGGTTTGAGTGGGAGGGCTTTGGGGGCCGGGGCAGGTGGAGCCCTCCGAGTAGCTCTCTCCCCTGGCCGTCTTCCTGCATCAGCCT